CAGCCGTTTTTAATATGGAAATTTGATCTAATTTTGAGGTAACTTGTCATTTCACATTGCCACACTTCTTGTCGACTGGATATGACTGCATGACCTTTGTTTTTGCATGTAGCAATTGAAATATTGCGCTTGCTAAGCACATCGATGAAGGTCATCCAATTGCTGGCCGGCATGGGGCGCACTACTGTGGCGCTACTGTTGGGTGCCGCCGAACCTGTGGTCTTGCTACTTTCGTTCCCTACTCCTCACCCTCTCCTTGCTGTCGCCATCCTTCATCCTCCGCTGGGCTCTGCGAGCTCTCTTTCATCCTCGACTATGCTTAGCAGGCTCTCTCTGCCGGAGACACTCAACACAGGAACGGGTGTATAAAGAAGTGCACTTTAAAAGTTTGGAGAGAGCATGCAGTGTGATAGAAAGAAAGAAGGTCGGGCAGGCACGCCCCAAGTTTCACTTGCTCCCATTTTCACGATAACAAAAAGGCAGGTCGCTGAATGCAGGAACGAGTGCATAAAGAGCTGCACTCTAAAAGTTAGGAAGGAGTATTATACAATGTGATAGAAACAAGTAGAATAGGTCAGGCAGGCATACTGGAAGCTTCACTTGCTCCCATTTTCTCGATGGCAAGGTGGCTTGTCGCTGAATGCAGGAACGGGTGCATCAAGAGCTGCACTCTAAAGGTTAGGAGGGAGTATTGTACAATGGGATAGAAAGAGCATAATAGGGAGCATTGTACAATGTGATGGAAAGAAATATAATAGGTCAGGCAGGCATACTCCAAGCTTCACTTGCTACCATTTTCTCGATAGCAAAGAGGCTCGTGCTCCCCCCACTCTTTGCTCGCAGCATCTTGCATTTTCACCTCTCTGTTGCAGATCAAACTACGGGACCGTGACGACACGGTGAGCGTCTCTAGTGTCTCGGTGAGTGGGTCTGCTGAGGAGCCCCCTTACGCTTGGAGGCCCCCGCCTCCCCAGGTTGGCAACTTTGGAGCCGACGACAGAGAGACGCGGCCCAAGATGACCGACTCGCACCTGTGAGTTCTGCCGCCCTTGCTTGTGGTGGGAACGGCATTCTGGCAACTTCTACAAGTAGTAACTGCTTGTGGCCTGAACAAGTTGTCTGCACGCTCTTGTGCATGGATGTTCGAAAGGTGTAGAGGAGTGCGTAGGGAGTGGCTTTTGCATTAGTTATGTAATAATACCTGAATGGCCCCTTCAACATTTTTCTTGTTGGGAAGCACCCGCTATTATTCACCTTAACGATTTGTCTTAGTAATGCAATGACCTGTCGTGAAAGTGACTCCACTACGTTTAAAAGTTCAAGAGCAAAGAAACGAGATGGCGGCGGGCCAAGATGTTTGAAAGAGCTAGCTACAGTAGCTAGCCTCATTCAGTAGAAGCACAAATTTATTATGCATACAAATGACCCATTCACGATGCTTCTCTTAACCAGCAAAAATGCTTTGAACTCGTTTGGTTGCTCAGAAATAAGAATTCTTTTGCAACTAGAAATACTGATTACATGCTGATGTTGCTTGCAAAAACTCATCTTTATTCGTCTTTATCTTTGATAATTAACATTGTGAGATTATCTTTGTCACGGCATGACTGCCCGGCCCCACGTTTACTGCTCTTGAGCTTTTAAGGTGGGCTTACCTGAACGATTGAATGCGCATTTGTCGACACCAGTATGGTGTGCGAATTGTCAATTTAGAAGCTTATGACGGGGAAGCAAGTTGATGAAGTATTAAGCCTTTGATGCCTAGTGCTGTTATTTTTTATTTTATGGGGTCAACTCTTTGTGTATGCCCCCTTTGCATTTCCACAGTCACGATCTCTGCCCTGGCATCTTTTGCACACCATCTGGCAACCACTTTGAAGACAGACTGCACAATTGAGCATTTGTTCTCATTTGAAACATTTATCTTAAAGGACACAGTACACTGAACTAGGCTTTTAAATTGCCACACTCATAGATGGTAATTTGTACTTTTCTACAGTTAGTTTCACATGTCAGTGGCAACGGTGCCGGAAATACTGAGAAACGCAGCCGTAGCACTTCAATGCATTGAAATATTTGTGCAAAGCCTGAAAGGGACACCGCAAAAAAGGTGCATGAACAGATTGAGTGCAACCTGTTCGAACGCAATCTGTTGCATTTTATCTGTTCAGTTTTCTTCTTTGTGGTTTCAAGTTTTGTAGTAACTATTTCTTTGGATATAATCAACCAACTGGCCCCTCAAGACATCCTCGATTGCAATTAAACTTTGTTTTTTGCACAGCGCAGTGTACATTGCTTTCAGGGTGGCTGCTTGTCATGAAAGATGGGTGGGGGGGACATTGCTGAAGAAATTACGGACAGAGAAGCCGAGCCAGAAAGCAGAACACATGCGCTGCACGCGTGTCTTCTGGTTTCTCTCTCGCGTGGCAGTTGTGGGGATTGCAAGAACAGAGCCAGCCCGCGATGTCATGCAAACCACTTTCTAGGGTACCAAGTTTGAAATTGGCTCACAGAAACAAGCATCGCAGTTGACTCTTGCTTGGGTGCTCAGTACATCTTTTTAAGCTGAGTTGCTATGACGCAGATCAGGCCTAACGTACTTCCTGTAATGAATTCCTTTGCAATAATCACCTTAAAGCCGGAAAAATGAAGGGAAGACGGCACGCCAGTTCACGCTTCTTTCTCACTTTGCAGCCCTGCTTCACTTTTTTGCGGGCCTCCACCTGATCACTCCTCTCTGCCACTCTTCCCGATTAGTGTCGACACTCACGCTTTTCACATGCCTCATTAGTGCCTACCTGCTTTGCCCTCCCATCCCGTTTACATTGTCCTCCTGCGATCACCCTCCTGCCTTGTCTTTCCTGGCCGCAGCATCATTAACCGAAAGACGGAATCCAAAGAGGAAGAGCACCTCGTGCGCACTGAGCTCGTCGAGAAAGTGCAGAGGTTGGTGTCTCCGCCGAGCCCAGAACTGCGGCTTATTGTCTGTGAGAGTTTCCTCGTTCTTGCTTACAACAGGGACTCTGGAACCATTCTGTAATTGTCTTCAACCCATAGTTGCCGGTTAGCAGCATCATCTCAAGCAAAAAAAAAAAATGGCTAAGACATCTATGCAGGATAAACTACATGGAGTGCTTGGGTCGGCAGCTGGGTTAGAAGCTGAAGACACGCTAAACTATTGCTGATGCGAAATCTTTGGTGTCAAGCCAAGTGCGTCTGCAAAGCTGTAATCAGTCTATAAATAAATTGTTCAAATTGCTACGTTGGAACGTGTACTTTCATTATTTTGATGGGTGCTACCATCATCTGAATGTCTTGATTAAGAGGCATAGATTAGACAGGAGACTCTGCAGGAAGTTCTAGTGAATTACAGATGAGATAACGAATTCTCGCATAGGTGCTTATGGAAATTTTGGAAAGCTTGTCTGCCGGATTCTCAAGTATCCCAGAAGCTAGTTTCGGAACCAAATTTTCAATGGAGAAAGGACTTTGTTTATATATAGGCCATTTGTTTTGTAGCTCAGTAATAGCAGAGAGCATGCTATTTAGCTGACAGCTAAATTTTTTTATTAACTAAACTTGAAAAATCAGGAACGGGCTGCCTGAAATAGTGCGCCCACTTTCAAGAGTGTGAGCACACGCTGCGAGTTGAAGCTTCTAGGAGCGTGTGATTGTGTAGATAGTGGTACAAAGTTTCTATAACGAGCTTGTTTCAATTCTTGTAGATAGCTTCACGTTATCGTTGAGCAATCAGTGTGCCGAATCGAGCACCTGGTTAGCATTACTCGCAATCTTGCTCATGTCACATTTGCCACCGAAATAGCGGGCTGTAGCTACAGAGGCGTTGAGGAGCACCAGAACTTGTCATGTTCTTAGTTTTAAGCAAGAGCTAGGATCCTCTCACTTGACTGCTCATGCATGCTACTTTTGCTTTTGTGCTTTTTGCTTTTGCTTTTTCTTGCACGCAGGAACACACACTTCAGTGGCTGCCTATATGATGTTGTTCGAAAATAATGTGACCTGGCATGAAGTTAAGCTACGATGTAATCATTAATAAATGGACGTGTGTGTGTCCTGATCTATTTCGTCTACAGTATCTCGAGGAGGGCTGCTTGAAAACATAGCATGTGAAATTGTCAAGCCACCTAGCCTTATAAAGGTGACACAGTCGCCTGGCAGTTCCGAGGTGTAACGTTGCATGTGCTTCTGCATCACTTTTTTTCATGGTCATAGTTACAAAGGGAAAATATTATTTAGTATGACAGTGCCATTGAGGTCCTCCTGTGAGGTATGCTGGGCTCCTTAACTATGTATTATCTGCAGTTTTCCAATGCTCTTCTGAAACACAGGGTCAACAAAAGAAAGCAAGAAAGGATGGAATCCAATAAACTTGTTTCAGAAGTTCTCATGCCGATCTCAGATTTTAGATCTCATGCTTTAGCATTTTCACCTTTTTGTAATCAGACACCGGCGTGTTCCGCTCATTTTAATTCTAATTTCAGTCTACGAAGAGGTAGCCAGTGTAAGGGCATTTGTGTAGGGAGCGTTTGAGTGACACCTTACAAAAATATCTCGCTTTGTGAAGGTAGATTTCAAAACACAGCTAGGGGCATGTCTCATGAACACACATTACCCTTGTGATATGTGTTCATGTGGTGTGCGTTTCACTCTCGTGTGAATTTGCATTTGCACTTTATATGTGTTTATATGTAAGGAACATTAAGCTACTATTTGCTTTCGCTGCTGCATTCAAATGACATTTACTTTAACCTTCAGGCATTATGAGGAAAATGACAGATATAACATTATAATGTCATTTGAACCACCATTGCACCGTGTTAACTTTTTCCTTTTTTTTGAATGATATTGATTTTGCTCATGACTTCAATAGTTGCATATTCCGAATGATGTGTATCAATGATAAGAAGTGTCTGTTGCATAATGTTTCTGTCTAAACTTTTACTCTACGTAGGCGCTACTATCCTGATCAAACTACTACAGAGTATCATCGCTACATGTAAGTTTTGAAGCAGTTAAACTGAGTGTACATGTTTGTGTGTGTGTGTGTCTGTGTGTGTGTGTCTGTCCGTCTCAAATCAGTTAAATCATTTCTCACGCATATGGCAGTGCTCGCACCTGCATGCTTGGTTACGCGTCGCTCTTATTTTTCGTACAACTCTCTTGAGCCTTGGGGATGCGCCGAGTGTTTGTTTCAGATATTTAGATATTTCACTGCCTTTTTCATCGATAGCAAGTGCACCTACAATAAAAAGAGGCATGCTCGCACGTTATTGTCACATTGCCTGTCTTACACTGCACTGCGTAGTTTTAAAGATAACTCGAGGCTGCTACACAACTGGAACTTATGTGATGTGCGCAATACTTGTGTGCGATGGTGAAAGATAAGTGCAATGTAAATGTCGATTCTGAGACAAAATATTTTTTTGCATTTTTGATTTATGTATTGCACGTCTCTGTCAAGCAGTGTACACATCCCAGCACTTGCATTAGATATGAACTTGGTCAACAATGGAATGAAAAATATATGCACCGCGAGTACATATATTGCATTGTGATGGCGTCCTCTTTCTCATGTCTGGGCTCTGTACACTTCGCACGTGACACAAGCACTTGTGAAGTTCATTTCGCCCCTTGTAAAGTTCGTTGTCGTCCTTATACTCAAGTAGGCGGGTGAAAAAAAAAAAATGTGAGAGAAACTATAGTTTACTTCGTACATAAAGTAAAAAACGACTCATTTTTGCTTTCTTTCCAGGCAAGATGGAAGTTCGCCCCAGGTGCAGGAGTCGTACTCCATGAACTACCATAGCACGACGTCGACCAACGGCCACCAAGTGGGCGACGGCGAGCACTCGCCAAACTCGTCCAAACTGGCGGTGCCGGGAGAGAATTCCCAGCTCGTCAGCCGGACGACGCAGCAGACCAAAACGCAACAGGTGCTTCACACAGTCCAGTATTGGCACAAAGAATGCAAATGAATAGATCTAATAATTGAGCAAACTGATACCATCGTCACTATAAAAATTTGATTGTATTGAGGCCAATCCTGATATATTGATTATGATGAGCAGTGATAGCTGCTACATGTTCTAATGATCTAGTTTGAGCCCCTTGGGTCATTAATGAGTTCAAAAGATGCATTATATCTGATTCTTATGATGAAAGAAATCTATTAAAGCACTCCTTGTGAGAACATGTTTTGTGTGTTGTTAAGAGTCATACGCCTGCGATTATTGTTTGCTAATTGTCTACAACTCTCAATATATGCATTGGTCTGTAGCTACAAGTGTCAACTTGCAAATGTGAGTTGTTTGCTATGCTACTTCTATTTTACGACATGCCATGCTTTATAGAAAGCTTGCCTTCGTACCCCCACCCCCCCCTGTTTTTTTAGATTTTTCTACAGTTGTTGTTGAATCGCAGTCAAGGAGCCTGATTTGATGAATTAGTCTGGATTGGACTTTGTTGCAGTGACTGTGTAACAGCACTTGATTCGCATTTAGCCTAGTCAGATAGGGTCCAGCCACGACTGAGTCACAAGATGATTTAAAAATCAGTTTTGAAGATGTTAGCGTGTAACCAGTATCGGATATGCTACTTCAATCATACGGCACTGTGTAACATAAGTAACTAAGCACTGTCCTCTGTTTCACATACTTTTCTGTTATTCTGTCTTGTATCATTGCGCAACGGGAATACGCTCAAACCTCATTGTAACGAAGTCGAACCTGCCACGGGAATACTTCATTATATCCAAAAATTAGTTATGAACTTATATTTGTAGCACTATGTCTATGACGGAGCTATTCTTCACTTCGTTGTAACCGATAATTCGTTATATCAAGGTTTCAATGTATCAAGTCATAAATCTTGCAATTAATGTGTGTGACATATGTTCATGTAGAAATATGTGGCTTTGTAGCAACATTCATAGTGCTGTTCACTAACCGACATGGCGATATTGTTTTTTGTCCTTTGAATGACATTGGCTAAAATAAGTGTTTGCGATTAAGTATTTAGGTTTTTTTATCACGAAACACCTTTCCTAGTCTAACCAAGTTATTTATGCGAGATAGCTATTTAAATAAAAGGTACAGATTTGCATAGCTTCTTGTTAGTGAAGGATTTCGCACCCCGTAGCAGCCTGGTTCATGTGTTACTTTGGGTGGATCGTGAGGCAGAGTTGTCTTCCATGTCTGTTCTAGGTCAAAACGGTCACAAAAGTCATAAAGACGAGGGAAGTTCGTCACGTCGGTCCCGACGGTCAGCCTCTAGAGTACAACCCTTACGGGACGCACGGCATGCCCATGGCAGGCTCCGACTACGTCACATATCCCTACACAGGTGCAACTGACAACTCCCACGGCTATGGCAGCTACGATACAGGTAAGCGGTCCTTTTTTTTGAGGAAGAAGTTTTGTTTTCTTACACCATGATTTCTGGGTTCTTGAAAGCTGTGGAATTTTCTGCACTTCCTGACTTTTCTGAAAGTACGCGAAGTACTTTTCATACTTCTTTAGTACCATACTTTCCAGGTTGTTTGAAAGAAAGGCAGCCAAATACACTCAAACCTCAATATAACGAACGCAAATATTGTAAACTCCCGTTAAGACAAACTCTGTTAATACGAATTCTCACTTAAGATGAACAACACGGGAGTGTATGTTTAGTTTCCCCTAGGCTCAATGCAAAACAAGTCTGCTTAAGACTAACTGCGTAACAGGCCTCTTCTGTCGAGACAAGGTCTCGCAGAGATTAAAGACAAAAGGGATTCTGCGCAGCAAACATTATAGTCTTGTTGGGGGCATTCAGGTGAACAAGAAAAAGCAAAAAAAAAAACTTTCTGACACAAAAACTCAAAGTAAATTGTGACGTGGAGGGAGGAAGCGAGATACGTGAAAAAGAAAGGTCTGCGCACAAAGCAGGTATCTTCCTCACGCCTAATCTGTAGGTAGAAAAAGAGCCAGCTTTATCAGCAAGGAAAGCAACGAAAAGCGTTCGTCCTTTAGGATTCTCTTCATGCTCTTCAGTTCCCTAACAGGAGTACAGTAGAGAACAGAACACAAGAGCTTGGCTAGAGGGGAGAATGCAAGAGAAGGGAAACGAAAGAAAGGCCTAATGAAAGTGAAAAGAGGAACAAAGATTTTCTCTACATTATAATCAAACGACACAGAAACGACATATGCAACACTGGCACTCCCATCAGAGAAGGCAGATGCGGTGTCATCACCGTAACACGATGGCACTTGAGCGCATGTTGTGGTTAGTCTGCGTTGTTTGGCATAGGGCCTGTGCGCATCATATCTGTTCTCAGTGAAGTTCAAGCAAATTGTAATGCGCCATTTTCATAATGAAAGCGCACGACAAAAGAAGGTCATTTTGCACATTAAATGTACAGTTGACTCCCGATAATTTGAACTCGCCTAATTGGAATTATCGGTGAATTGGAAGTGGAGTGGGGGTCCCGTCAGTTTTGCATGCAGTTCAACAGGAAGAAATTCTCAGTAATTGGAAGCTAGAGGTCTAAAATTTCGGTTAATTCAAATTTATTTTCAATCGAATTCCCGGAGGAAATCCTAATGTTTGTTAAATTTCCTATTCTCAAAGTGCTAAACAACAATGCGTGTGCGACCGGCACCAAAAGGCATCGCAGTTGACCACAGCGCCGCAGCTCAAAGCATCAGCTGATGGCATTGCAGTTGCATCCAGCGCCCCAGATCACGAAGCGGCTGCTCCGGCGGTTCCGGTTCCGGGCCTCATTGTTGATCTCGTTACAGTCGTATGCGGACTCAGCGTTTCCACGTGCGACGAAGCTCCACGTGCATTTACTATGGCAACTCGCGAGCCTTATCAGACGCTTGACTGGGCGTCTTGTACAGTGGGGGAAGAAGACACAAGTGAGCTTGACATTGGTGGTCGCCTGGGAGCTCTCGGTGACGTCCCTTTCGAGGAGTACATTGCCACTGACAGTTCGGTAGAAACGTGCAGTGCACTGTCCGACGTTGAGATCGTGGAGATGGTTCGGCCCAGCGAGCTTAGTCACGAAACTGAGGTTGACGACGACGACGCCGCAAGTGAGCCACTACTGCGGGCTGCTGATGTAGCCGCAGGCCTTGCCGTCGCGCTGCGGTTTTTCGCTGCTGAGAGCAATGCCAAGAAAGCACTCGGGCATATATACAGCCTGCAAGACTTGCTTTCTGCTGCAAGATTCAGCAAACAGAAGAAAACGGCAATCACAGATTTTTTCTCATAAACTGCTTTGAAATAAATGTATTTGTCGTTCATTGTGATTAATTGGAATTCTGCCTAATTGGAAGTTTTTCGCGGTCCCCGTGAACTTTGTATTAACGAGAGTCGACTGTAGCTGCATTGTGTCTTTTCCGTGTGCCCGAGGCTTGTGATCATGAGTACCATATACAGAGATCTTCAGATCTGTGTATATGTACTCGATTTCATGGGTTCGTAATAAATATGCTCATGAATAAGTTGCTACCACATTTTAACAATAAAACTGTAGCATAACCCTATTCTGTCAGTTAGAAAAAGATCAAAAGGGAGATACAAGCACAATTTTTTTTTCAAAGAAAGGAAAATATATTCTTCAGGCGTTTCACCTTTTGAGAGGCTGCTTTGATGGCCTTGCTATCACTTTTGGATACGCCTCGATCGCATACCGCTACCTTGACAAAGCCAATATATGCCAAATTGCGTATGGAAGTCTGCAAGCTTTTCTTTGAGGTTCAAATGTTTTTTTTTTTAATTTTCAGCCCGCAGTAACTTTTCCTCAATGACATGCAGCTGAACCTCTTCGTTTACACCACTCATGATCAAAAGCCTCGGCACACACAAAAAAAGAGACCAACACAGCTATATTTAGTGTGCGAGATGACATTTCTTTCTGATGCACTTTCATAATAAAAATGGTGCATCACAAATTGCTGCATTTAAGTGGGAACAAATACAGACATGCACAGGCCCTATGCAAAATGATGCAAACTGATCACAACATGTGTTCAGAAGCCATTGAGTGACAACGATAACAATGCATCTGACTCCTGTGATGGGATTGCTAATGCCACATATATGGTTTCTGTTTCATGTGATTATGTTGTGCATACTATCTTTGTTCCCATTTTCACTTTCATTTGTTTTGTTTCTTTTCCTCTTCCCTTGTATTTTCCCCCTAGCCAAGCTCTTGTGTTCTTCTTTTCCCTACGGTACTTCTGTTGGGGAACTGAAGAACGTGAGGAGACCTGAGATTGCAGTTATAATTTATTATGGGAATCTCAAAAAATGACAAGTTATTTATCCAAGAAATTGTTGTGGCTTTGCCCTCTAGTTAGGAGAAGAACTGACACACTACCTCCTTGCATCGCAGGCGAGCCTCCTAGTCCAGCCAGTCAGGTGGCACCCCCGCATGGCGCCTACCCCCAGGATTATGCCACGTACGGCTCTTACCTACGCGACTACGACTACGGTGGCTACCCTGGACAAGCGACCGACACCTCCTTCGGTCACGTCGGAGTCACCCCTGCCGCCCTCGCACATGGCCATGCCCCAGGCCGCGTCGTCTCGGAGCATGATGTCGCCTCTCATGGTGGCCCCCGACGGTTACAGCCACGGGCATTCGGGTTACGACGAGCTCGACCCTCAACCTCCGAGGGGCGGTGTGGAATATGCACCGGACTGCTACAGGAGTACACCTTCGCCGGCTCCTCATCCGGATCGCTACGGTGGGAAGCATGCCATTTTTTGGAGAAGAAATAGGCCGACGTATCTTGTAACAACTGTTTAACATAGAAGCGCTACAACACAGTGATACGTGAAAAATATAGAAGATTTACGATGCTAACCAGAGACGAGTGGAACGTAAGAGACTGCTAACTGGAGGCTGTATCATCAGATTGTCGTGAATGTAAATAATGCATGCCAAAATTTGATTATTTTGTAGTTTTATATTGGCACAGAATATAAGAAATGTGTCTAATAGTTAAGGACTGGCATATCAATAACATTGTGGCAGGACATGCGTAAGCTAGCCTTTGATTAACTTGTGTGAAGAAGAACTCAACTACATCGGACTGTGAATTCTCACGTTCCCTCCCCCCATGTGTGCTGGATTGATAGGTATGGCCTCTTGTTGGTGCCTGCACAGGTGCTTACTTTTATCAGTAGCTAGTCGGCTTTTGTGTTGTCCAGATTTCTGTCTTGTGCCCGTGATTGCATGGCCTGTCCATTAACATGAGAAAATACCTTGTAGTGTTTACAGTGGAATTTAGCTACAGTAGACAGGAGAGGAGGAAAAGCTTGTGTGTCGTGTTACATATTGTTGCTTTACGCTGAAAAAATGGGAGGACTTCATGCAGCAGTAGTCGCATATCAGGCTGTTTAATGAACCATGATGAAGTGGCACTGTTGGTTAATTTATTCTCCTTTTTAGGGAGAAAACACACCGGTGACACCCGCACTACCTTTCTTGCTATGCCTTCGCCCTGTAGTCGATATTCTTTTGCTAGCTGTGTTGATCATTACAATAACCCACCCTTTTGCAGGCACTTACGGCTACTTAGGAGCCCCCGGTGCAAGTTCTCCTGGCTATAGCCCTGGCTACGAGGGCGCACCCCCACCGCAGGGGTACCTTGACCGCCGGCCCAGCTATGATGAACACCAGGCCGGACCACCGGGAGGCACGAGGGGCCCCTATGGGGCAGCTCCCCCTCGAGCCCTCTTCGAGGAAGAAGAAGAAGAGGCCAGCCCCGCACCCCCGCCCCTGGAGGGGCAGCTTCCCCCCAGGCCACCTTACGTGGGACCTCCGCTTGATGGATCAGACCCCAGAGGTATGCATTTTCTTTCACAAGTGAGGCTCTGTAAGATACACTCAAACCTCTCTGTAACAAAGTTGCATCTTACACGAAAATAAGTTTGTTATATTCGGAAATTCATTATAAAAGGTGCAAGCGTGGAACCTAACACTATATCCAGGCTTGTGCAAATGCATTTGACCAATTTTCGGGCGAACCCTCAAGGTACCCGAAAATGGTCGAAAAATCGGGCAGTCCAAAAAAGCGAACGTGCCTCCGAAATTCTCAATTTATTGATTACTATTTAAATGGAGGGCCAAAAAACTGATTGTATTCTGGACCATGCTTCGCTTCCGTGTGAGCACGTCTGCCCGCATTTCAGCTAGAGTTGCCGTGTCGCTGTAAGCTGACGCAAGGGTTGCGATTGCTTGCATCAGCTCAGCTTGAGTAAGCTGAGCTGTTGCAGGTAAGTCGTCATTGTCTTCATCATCGCTCTCTGACTCCGCAAGCACTTGACGAATGATCTCCTCATCTGAGAAGCCAGCACACAGTTACAACTCGTCCACACACGCAAACTTGGAGAATGAGACATCTGGGGAAATCTCGACGCCTGCAGTGCGAAAGTCGTCGATGGGCTCCTCACTTCCCAACACCTGGTCGACGATGCTGTCCTCGTTCAATGCGGCCGACTCGCCATTCAACACAAATCCCGCGTGGCAGAAACAGTTGCACCGCATTGTCGATGCCGTCAGTGCAACTGTTTCTGCCGTCAACTTTTACGCATCGGCAAGCATGCTAAGTGCTCTAAGCAAATCGTCCGAGTACGCTTTTCTGCTGACGAGGCACACCACCACACGCGAAAGCAAGCGTGACTGATAGTTCACTTTGAGAGTGCGTATGAAGCCCTGGTCCATCGGTTGTAGGAAACTTGTCGTGTTTGGGGGCAAGAACTCGACAGGCACAGCTTTAAAGTTGTTAACGTGCCCGTGTGCAGCGCAGTTCACCACATGTGGAGCGAACGGCAGTCGCACAGGCGAACAGTCTGTTGAGGCGGTCCGATCTGTTCAACGGTCACAGCAGAAAACAAAAAAAATTTTTCGGCAGCGACGCTGATGTGGAAATAGCCTCCATCCAGCCGTTCAAGCGTTCGAGGTAGCCACCTTAGCGGAGGCAAGCGTAGGTATCGGCCGCGCGCAAGGCCAGCACCGGTTTGAGGCTATTGAAAAAAAACGTAGGCAAACAATGGTGGTAGTCGGCTCGGCTGGCACTTGGAAAATTCAAAATATGAAACAGCCCGTCCTTAAGTGTACGAAATTTTAAGCTGTGAAATATATTGAATTTATGCAGTATGTCCTGGTGCTGGCTAAAAGTCCGAATTATCAAGCGTGTTCGAAAAATTGGGCATCCAGAATATTGGTCGCTGATTTAATCGAATGCTTCAAATATTCGAATGAATAGTAGGCTATTCGACTTTGCTTCGATTCGAATTTCAGTCATTGAAAATTTCAAAGTATAACGAACCAATAGACATGTAGAGTCGAGGACTGATATTTCAAATGCGAAGTTTTTCGGACATGCTTGATAATTTGGACATTTATCCAGCACCAGGACATGAGCTATAAATAATTTATGATGTTTTGCAGCTCAGAACTTCAGACACTTCCGAGCGTCAGTTGAGCTGACTACCACCATTTTTCTGTGCCTCTATCTTGTTTGTTTATAATTTCCTTCAATAGCCTTGAACCAGGGCTGGCCTTGCGCTCGGCCAATACCTCCGCTTGTCTCCGCTAAGGTGGCTACCTCAAACGCCTCAAACTGCTGGAGTGAGGCTATTTTCGCATCAGTGTCGCTGCCAAACAATATTTCTTCTCTGCTGTGTCCATTGAATGGATCGGACCGCCTCGACGAACTGTTCGCCTGTGCGCCTGCCATTTGTCCCACCGAAGTCACGAATATCTGCGCTACAGCTGAAACAACTTTCTTCATAAGCTACACTAGCGCAAAACACATTGAGCATGCACTCTCACGTGTCCGAGAATAAAGGCAGGCGATGCATTCAAATTTTTGAAAATTGGAAGACCCGCATTGCCACTGAAATGAACTATGAAAAAAAAAAAAACTATGAAAATAACGTGCCATGCATTGCTGAAATTGGCCAATTACATTTCAGGCCACATAGATTATTTGTGCACTGAGCGGTATACCGATCGATTTCACAGGCTCAAACCCCGTATTCAAGACATTGCAATCGAATCGCAAACCACCATTCAAATGTTGCATTGGCCACCCAAGCCCTCTTTCCTTCAAGTAGAGCCATCGAGAAGAGTTACCGTATTTACACGATTGTAAGACGTCCCTTTTTTTTCAAATTTGACAATCCAATGTTGGGGGGTCGTCTTAGAATCGAAATCGAACCATGTACCTTAGAATCGAAATCGAACCATGTATTGTCATCTCGAATAGTTTCCCGCTCAACCCAAAGCGCATAGTTTTCCGCGTGCTTATACAAAAGCTTTTCTTTTTTTAGCATCTACTGCGCGCATTACGAGTGCCTTTATGACGAGCGCACGGCTCTTGAGGGAGCACCGGTAATCGATGGAAGAGCCGCCGTAGGGGGGTACTGGTAGTTGACGGAAGAGCTCCTCTTTGTGATACAATTTTCTAAGCGGGCGCGTCGCCGTGTGCTCCTGTCGCTTGTGTCCACGACCGGCTCTCTCGAGTCACTTCTGTCTGACATGAGTGCCGTAGGCTCGAAGAACACTCGGCGCTCGTTTACGGCAGCGTTTAAGCGGGCTGCTATTCTTCATGCGGAGGAAACCAACAACTGTGCAGCAGGACGGAAGTTTGGAATCGGTGAATGTGTGGTGCGGAAGTGGCGGCTTCAGCGCGAGAAAATTTTCTCGTGCGACTCCAAGCGCCGTGGCTTTCGCGGGCCGAAGTCTGGCCGCTTTTCGGAACTAGAAGCGAAGCTTGCGGCCTACTCACACTTGACGACGACGTGCTGTGGGACTGCAGCAGCAATGACGGCAGCAGCACTAGCGAGGACGACTCCAGCGACGATGAATAATCCTCCGCAACCACGTGAATAAATTTCCCTTGTGTAAAATGCACGAGTTCTTTTTTTTTTTTTTGAGAAGATGCGATTTTGGGGGGGTCGTCTTACATTCGAGTCGTCTTACAATCGCGTAAATACGGTACGTTGATTCCTTACAAAACCACAACACAATTGCTCGCGATCGCCGCCGAAAAGCACGAACAGTGATTAGGCCTAACCTACAGTTCGGCATGCTGTCACGGGAAGTTTGTTCAAGACAACATGAAGATTTGGCATTGAAAAGATTGCACTATAGCACCGATTCAAGAGCAGCGCCCGCGGTATGATGTTAAGATTTGCCACAAGGAAATCAACGGCAACAAAAGTCTGCCGAGCTTGTGCAAGTCCGCGAAGTGCCAGCAAAGGCGAAAGCTTGCGTCGACAAGTCGAAAAGCTTTTGAGATTGCAGACGAGGTAGCAAACGCAATAACGACAACACTTTTTTTCTGACTGCACTATTGAGGACAATTCGATCCTGCGTTTCATACGGAGCGTGCGTGGCCAGAGCAGCCGGAGCCACGCCCACAAGTCGGTGCAAAGATTACTCCGACTATCAGGCAACCTTCCTTCTTCTCGGTGAGCCCATGGAGGTGGCGCAGCGCTGCCGCGGTCATTTTTTTTCCCCTTTGCTTCGGTTAATGTAAGAGGGCATCGAATTGCAGCCGCGCATATACGGTATATAACTACTGATCACGGCCAAGTTTGGGATGCGCCTATTATGCGAGTAAATAGAGTGAGTGCGGTAACAAACCTGCAATCACATCTACCCTAAAGTTTGGCAAGGTCATCAATTTTTGGACGCGATATTGCAATGGAAGTGGTGCTAACACATGTCATTCAACTTTAGTTACACTTTGTAGTTTTGTGCTTTAACCGAACTCGAGTCTTCGCTATCACTCCCTATTTATGCTAAGTCTGCCTCGGTGGTGTAGTGGTTACGGTACTCGGCTTCCGACCCAAAGGTGGCGGGTTCGATCCCGGCCACAGCAGTCCCATTTCGATGGAGGTGACACGGTAGAAGCCTGTGTACTGTGCGATATCAATGCGCAATAAAAAACACCAGATGGCCGAAATTTTTGGAGCTCTTCTTTACAGTGTCTCTCATAATCATATAGGGGTTTTCGGATGTAAAACCGTGATTATTATTATTATCTCCATTCACACAAACTCTTGTCACTCTGCATAAAACCCAGCACTATGCATAATGCCCCTGTCACCTTCTTGAGAGAAGCAAACAGGTGGCAGCGCGTGTCTGGTTTCTGTTAGACTTGTTGCTGAATGTCTTGCTGTACTTTTCAGGTGGTGGGGATGTGCGGTGGCGAGACCCCGACCTGCACGAGGTGATTGAGTTCCTGGGCCACCCCAACAGCGTGGTTCGCGCCAATGCGGCTGCCTACCTGCAGCACCTGTGTTACATGGACAATGGCATGAAGCAAAAGACGAGGTGGGCGCACCTGTGCTGCCTGCGAAGGCTAAAGTTACTCAAGAGGGTAGTTCTTTGAGTGAGTTAGTGGGTAATTGAGAGGCTTACAGCGCTTAAAAAGCAATACTAATATGTGCAGTGTGTGTTGTGTACACGATCCTTGTATCGTGCAGGAAGCAATGTGTTGGTCAAACCAGCAGCAGCAGGTGCATAAATGATCGTTTGCACGATTATAAGAAGGTTCCTTAGATGAACAGCAGCTACTTAACCCTTCCCTGTAACACAGCTGACTTTACAAATTGTAAATTCCTTTTTCATAAGTGCCAGGTGTTGAGATGGAACGGTCTTTAGCTAACGTGTGTAATAATCGAGGCTACTGAGATTACCTGTTGAAGTATACTGTTGGCAATTTTATCATCTGCAGAGTCAGTCTCGATGTACACGTCCGTTTCAGTGGAGAGCATTCAGTTATTCGAGCGACCGGTGGGCCTTGACGTCGTCGTGCTCTTTGACGCACCAAACCCGTTCAGCACAATCCGAGCATAAGAAAAAAAGAAAGCGGGCAAAATATATACAGTAACAGTAACACTCAAACACTAACACCTAATATACAAAACAAACTTGACAGGTCTGCTCTTGCATATGAAGGTGTGCTAGATGCCTCGTAATGATGCATTCTTGAATGTTACCTACCTTCACAGGTGCGTTAGATGAGCAACCTCATTAAACTTGATTTGAGAGCTAACGAATTAAAGTTCGTGCACGGCCTCCAAGATGTGCACCCAAAACCCCATTTCTGGAACCCATGCTGGTTGTTTTGAAGCACATTGATTCCGTCACTTTCATTTTACAGCGAAAGCTGTTATGGATCGCAAGGGTTGTGTGTGCCGTAGTTTTCCGGGGCCCCCCTGTGCCCGTACTCACTATCGCATGAAATAAGAAAAAAATAACAAACAAAACCAAGTAAATGAAGAACACAGTGGAATTCGAACCTGGGTCCCCTGCTTGCCAGCCCAGTATCCTACCACAGAGCCACGCCGGTTCTTGAAACTCTGTTGCAACCTGGCCTTAGGCCGGCTTTTTGTTGGGGAAGGAATCCTGTTATGAGTAATAGAGCATTATAGAACTGCAAAGCAACAACCAGGCGTCACACAATGCAAATTTCATAAGGAGTGGGTCGTCAAATGCCCCAGCTCATTACAAACGCTTCAGGCACAGTTCTCCATCGTCATCAGCCATAGCATCAAGAAAATGCGCATAATTCTTTACAACTGTGTAGGCGCAGTTCTCCATCGTCATCAGCCATAGCATCAAGAAAATCCGCATAATTCTTTACAACTGTGTAGTGGGTACCACACCACTTTGAAGAATGGCGAAAAATAGCATAATTTCCTCCCCACTACGCAAAAATTATGATTTATAGAGTAGTGGGTGGAAAGAAAAGTGGAAATGGAGAGGGGGGGGGCACTGCTTCTGAGCTCTAGTCAATTTGTGGTGGCTGATAGAGTGAGTCTGCTAGGTGGGCTCATCGAGAGAAGCTTTCTTGTTGCATTGACTGAAAAATAACTTTATACTTTGTGCCATGTGCATGACCAATACGTTTTTTAGGCTGATAGCAGTTATTTCTTGGGATGTGCATTGGCACTGTCATTTCTTCTTTTTTTTTTGTTTTTCATAATGTCACATCTTTTTTATATTCTGTTGCATTTCCACTGTAAATTTCACTTGTAAGTTGGTCTATTCTCATCATTCTTGTTTTGTCCATGTTTTTCCAGTGCCGTAAGCCTCTAACTAAAGCATAGGCTTCCTTTAGGAAACCAGAGTTTTTGCTATGTGCTGCAATGCAAGCAAAGTGGAACCTGAAATAAGTTCTGTGGGTATTGCAGAGCTCTGGGGGGCATCCCACTCTTGATAGAGCTTCTGAATCAAGATTTCCCAGAGATTCAGAGGAATGCCTGTGGTGCCCTCAGGAACCTCTCCTATGGCCGGCAAAACGATGAAAACAAGGTAAGCCTTGGCCAATCTGTGAAGAAAAAAAAAAATCCTTGTTTGTGCTTTGTGTCAGGGCTACAGCTTTCATTCCTGCTAGGCACTTGGACATAGTCAAGATTTTTCCACCATTTTATTGTGGTAGGCACGTTGCCGCAAGGTATAGTTGTTATAATTTATTATGGTACATTCACTCCAAGAAATGAAAAAAAAAAAAAAAAACATTGCTAAGTGTGTAGTATAACCAAGCAAGGGTGCTTGAAGCCACCATTTCCTATCGTGTCAAGCCACATAAATGCTTATTTTGTAAATATGTTTACATTCCAAACATGACTTCATGTATTGTTTTCTAGTAACATGTCTAGATGCAGCTGCCTCGTCACTTGACCTTTTTTTTTTCTGTGGCTACTTCGCATAAGTCGAGCTTCCAGTAATACCGTATTTACTCGAATCTAACGCGCACCTTTTTTCTGGTTAAGCGAGTTCATAAATCGCATGCGCGTTAGAATCGAGTAGTACGAAAAAAAAAAAAACGTTCAATCTATTGCCATCGGCAAATCCAAAATGGCCGCCCCCTACGTGCGTCGGCATGGCGCGTCAGCTATTTCTGCCTATGTGTTTCCCATGTGCGGCACTTCGTACGTGTGCTGAGGAGTTCGTCATCTCGTAGTGCATTAGCATCGACGGCGTGGAAGGGCCGACTCCAAAAACTCGAGTGCACCACGATGCCGCTTTTAAAAGAAAAGCCATCGCGTGTGCGGAAACGGACGGAAATCGGGCCGCATCGCGGTCGTTCGGAGTTCCCGAAACGTGCGTCCGGGACCGGCGGAAACAAAAGCAGAAGATTATCGACAGCAAAGCTTCACGCAAAGGCTTCAGTGGACCACAGCAGGGTCGGTTTCCGCAAATTAAAGAGCTGCTCGGCGTGTATGCGCTTGAGCAGCGAGCGGCAGAGTGGCCTGTGACGACAGAACTGCTCCAAGTGCGAGCTATGCAATTAGTCTTAGAAAAAGGTCTAATGTGGAGCCAGTTTGAAGCGAGCAGGTGCTGGCTAACTAACTTTATGAAGAGGAAACGCTTTTCCCTCCGAAGGGGAACATGCATATGCGAAAAGTTTTGCGGAGGAGTACAATGAAAAGCTTCACAGTTTTCAGAGGTTTGTCCTAAACTTGCGGCGCAACAATGGCTACCTGCTTGGGCAAATCGGGAATGCCGATCAGACGCCTCTTTACTTCGACATGCCTGGCACCACAACCGTCGAGAAGGGGGCGAAGCAAGTTCGCATGCTGACATTGGTCCACGGTAAAACTACAGTGACGGCAATGCTCTGTTACACGTCAGATGAGCACAAGCTTCGCCCGTACCTCATATTTAAATGGAAGACGCTCCCGAAAGGAGTCGTTTTTTCGAGTGTTGTGATCTTGCGGGCCAGAGAGACAAATGGGTGCGCGTTGCAATTGATGTCTTACGTTTTTTTTTTTTTTCGCGGTGGAAATCGGGTGGGCGTTACAATCGAGGGCGCGGTAGAATCGAGTAAATACGGTAATAAAAAACATTTTACGCATGTTATCTGGTAGTCTACTGTGTTATACTCAATTGACTGCATTGTGCTGGCGCCTTTAAGCTTTCTTATGTCAAATAAGTTCTCTTGATTACAAGATCTGTAAGCTTTCAGCGGAATCTGGTAATATAACCGTTCATTTTTGTTCATTTTTGTTGCATTCACGGCCCAGTATATCAAAATCATTTCCTTAAAATAGACAGTTGAGAGAGTTGGTTTTGACTCGTAACGTGATAGTGCGCGAATGAAAGATGTTCCATGTTATCGTCGCTTTTGCACCTTTTCACATTACCAATGATTTATTTCATGACTGATCTGTTCTATGTGGTCACTGTGATTTGTGAACGTCAGTTTCGTCCACTGACAATATATGTAACTTCCTCTTTCGTGATTCAGCGAGCCATTCGTAATGCGGGTGGCATACCGGCCCTTGTGCGTCTACTGCGAAAGACGCCCGACAACGAAATCCGTGAGCTGGTGACCGGGGTCTTGTGGAACCTCTCTTCATGCGAGGTAAAGTCACTGTCATGCAGGTTTAAATTTTCCTAACTTTGAAGGTCACATACTATATTTACTGGAATCTAGGCAGACCCCGATTCTAAACCAAACCACAAAAGTCTGAACACCAGGAAAAAAAAAAAAAGAACTCGCCTCGAATGTAGGCTGAACGGAACAGCAAAGACAGCATTCACAAAGAGAAAACATTTATAGAACTTGAAGATGAAACAAAACAGTCGGTTCAGGGTGCAAATAGCTCGAGAAAGATACAGCCGCAAATCCTGCTGCGTATGCTTCTTTGTCTTCGTTTTTTGGCACCGCTTCTAGATACTGTAAAAACAAGAATATAGAAAGGACCGGAATAGAGGTTGACTGTGCCAGCTTTGAATCTCCGAAAAATTTTTTTTTTCAATTCAAGGTATCGCGCCACACCCTTACCTTGATAAATATGCGGCACAGCTGGCTACACTGAGGTAATATTTCTTTTTATTTACACACTATTCCTATGTAGTTAACGCCAGAAAGTCGCAAAGTGCTGTCACTCAGACTCCTCCGAACATGGGACGGAGGACATCTGTTTCTCGCTAGTTATGTCCATGACTGCATCGTTCTTCGTTCAATCTAATGCATTGCTAATGCAGTATTTGCGGAAAGACTTGCACAGCATCTGTATCAGGAGAGATTTCCAAGCTGACGACACCCAGCCATAGATGGTCGTGAGCGGTGGACGTCGTAGGGGGCCAGCGGTCTTGGGATTATCACCCAACACCCACTCCTTGTAGAGCGCGCGTGATCTTTGAAGGGTTTATTGTGCTCTACGTGCAGTGGCCGGAGGATCGATGTTAGTCGCCCAGGGATCACAACAAGGTTCCTCTTGCCATCGCACAGAGCTCCCTTTACATCGGCCAGCCCCGCCGCGGTGGTCTAGCGACTAAAGTACCCGGCTGCTGACCCGCAGGTTGCGGGATCGAATCCCGGCTGCAGTGGCTGTATTTCCGATGGAGGTGGAAATGCTGTAGGCTCGTGTGCTCAGATTTGGGTGCACGTTAAAGAACCCCAGATGGTCGAAATTTCTGGAGCCCTCCACTGCGGCATCTCTCATAATCACATTGTGGTTTTGGGATGTTAAACCCCTCAAATCAATCAATCAATCATCAACCCATTTACATCAGCCATGAGGTGGCCTCGAAGTGAGTCGAACAAAAACATGCTCCTCTTTTTCTTTGCTAGGTTCCTATAAATCTGTTGTTTTCGAAGAAACTAAAGCTAATGCTCTGTTTGTAACTTCCCTTACCGTATTTTTGCGCGTATAACTTGCCCCTGCATATAATCCCCACCCCCACTTTCAGCTGACCGAGAAAGAAAAAAAAATCCCCACGTATCGCCCGCGCATTTGATATACAGGAAAGGCTGTATAAAAGCTACTGCTCAAGCAACATAGCACATATGTAGACAGAAAAAGCTTTATTTAGCAAGCAGAATACGCTGTCTGCCAGGCCAAGGCCAGTCACAATTCACTCACCGTCGCTGCTCTCACTAGAGCTATCGCTTGAGCCGCAGTCCTCACTATTATGCACAAGGTCATCTTCGGTTCCATCCATATTGTTTGTGATGCAGCATTTCTTGAAACTTTTTCGCACCATCTCACCTGGAATGGCCTTCCATGCCTCGACAATCCACTTGCAGAATAGGGTAATATCAGGCCTTCGGACTCGTCCCGTCGGCGTCAAGTCGTAGCAGCCTTCGGCCATACACTCGGTGTAAAAGCGCTTGACATGCGCTTTGAAGGGCTTGTTAAGCGACACATCTAGAGGCTGCAACATTGACGTCATTCCACCAGGTATAACAGCTAAGTCGGTGCCGTTGCGTGAAAGGCGGTCCTTCACTTCCTCAGTTGTGTGGCCGCGCAATGAGTCAAGAAGGAGCATGGACCTCTTTGCGAGCATCGCACCGGGTCCCTTCTCCCATACCGTCTTGATCCAGTCCACGAACAAGTCACTGTTCATCCACGCATTCTCATGTGCGCGCACCACCACACCGGCAGGCAAATGAACCTCTGGTAGAGTTTTCCTTTTCAAGATGACCTACGGTTGCAGTTGTTTGCCGTCGGCGAGGGCACAAAGCAAGACTGTGATGCGCAGTTTCGTGTTCCCGCCGGTCAGCACGCTCACCGAACTGCTGCCTGTCTTCTCAATCGTTGTGTCCAACGGCATTTCAAAATAAACAGGAGTTTCATCCGCATTGCCGATTTGCAAGAAAATGTAATTGTGCTGCTTTCGCAGGCCAATTACATATCTCTGGTACTTGAGCAGCTTCTCCACATAAGAAGCCGGCAAGCGTTGACATATTGTAGTCCGCCCTCTGAGAGCCCTTGCCGCTTTATAAAGCGGTGCAGCCATCCGCAGCTCGCACGGAACTCGTGAGGTGAGCCTAGCTCCCTCGAAAGTCGCCGCGCTTCCACTTGGGCCATCTCGGTCGATACGGCATGACCCCTGCTTCTCACATCTTCTTTCTCCACAGTCGCACGCAGGACTCTTCCACATCCTGCCGTCTTCTTGCTTCGCAATTTCCGAATTCCTCGGCGACGGCGATGATCTTAAGCTTTTGCTGTGCCGTGAAGGCCTGCCGCCGTATCGTACTCATGGTGACAGAACAGATCGACTTAGGCTTGGCGAACGGGTCGAGATGTGGAGAACTGTCGGTATCAGCGAGGTAAAGAGCGCTCACACTTGGCGAGAACTTGACAGCACTACCCCTTCTAGTACACTGTAACAGCACCCTGGAAACAACAAAACCGAAATGCATGCCTGCTAACGCGTCAAAAAGTAGTACATTAATTTACTGATCATATATCTATAGGAACTATAATATCTCATTTGCCTAGATGAAATAAATACTGCTTTATTTATTATGGAACTTTCTTAGACAGCACCACCTTTTCGGCAAGCCCTTTCCGAAAGTAAACATGGCGTCCGTGACGTAGGGACATGTGGAGGGTCACTGAGCGGCCGTGAACATCCCAAAAATATACCTGTGGTGTGACAGTGTGATTTTGATTTTACACTGAACAATCGAATTGTCTCTCCCCAAATGTTTTTCTCAACGCTTCAACAATGCAGGCAAGCGAAACCAAAATCGGCCGCAAGCTGCCGTGCTACTTGTGAGCAACATGCATTTGCGGAAACCGCCTCCGTAGCTTTCGCTACACTGTTAAGGGGCTTCACAGCACAACACGCATTGCTGTGAAGCAGCATTATAGGAAAAACCCCATGTATTATCCGCACCTCCACTTTGCCACTTAAATTTTTGGGTTTTTGGTGCCTGTTATACGCGCAAAAATACAGTACTTACGTTTCACTGACGTCACATGTTAGTGCCTATAGCAGCCCATGGTGCTGCATGGTCACTAGCGAGCCCAAAAAAATGCTGCGATTTCAATTGGGCATCAATAATTAAAGACTGAATATCAAGCCAAAATATTGTGGAATAGGTATATCTAATCCTCATAAAAGCAGGGAAAATTGCAACTGGGATGTTTCATTCTTGTTCTACGATCCCTTTAAATGGAACGATGCCCCTAATGTGTTTGCTTTCGTACGTGTATTTTGCTCTCCTGGTGTTCTCTTTGTCAGTGAAATTTCAGATAAACGGCTCAGATTTTTGTGGTCCCTTCAGGATTTATTCAACAAAAGTCTTCTCTGTATCCGACGATTATATGCTTCCCACATTCAAAGGGTGCATTAATGTTGATCTCGTCTTCTCATTTGCCATGAGACTGCGTAATACGCGGTCTCTCACGAACCTAATTTCCTAGTTTGTAGCCAGTCTCCTGACGCAGTTTCTCGGGTTCCCCTGCACCATCTTGGCTCGCGTAATGATCTCACGAGCCCTGCGACAAACCGGTTGACCTTTCTATGCAGGAGCTGAAAAGGCCAATCATCGACGATGCCCTCCAAGTGCTGGTGAACCACGTGATCATCCCCTTGTCCGGCTGGGACCGCAACCGTGACAGGGGCGACCACACGAAGCCCCAGGAGATCTACTGGACCATCGTCTTTCGCAATGCCAACGGAGTCTTGAGGTGAGCGTGGCAGCCGACGACACTTCCGTGCACGCTCACTCCTTGGCGCACTCTCCTTGCAGGAAATGCCCTTTAATGAAGGGGTATTCCTCTGGATCTGCATACAGCCTTGGCTGTTCTTAACCGCGATGCTGTTTAAGCTTTAAGAATTCCCGTTAGTCGCAAATAGACATTAGCATTATGAACAGGCACGTGCCTCCTTTATCCCCTTCTTGGTTGTCTGCTTTTCTCCAAGACCACGTTTTTTCGGATCGTATGTTATTTTCTGCATTTGTTTTTCGAAAATGTATCGAGGCTCTACTGTATATGTAAGCCTGTTTGATCACTACGCCCGTTAAAAAAGAGCAGGCTTTTTGTGATGGCATGACTGAACATTTTATTGGGCATTTCCAACCACTTAATCGACAACACAGACCACCTTGATTTGGTCAGTTTTTGTGGCATCCTCCTCCACTGTCTCGTTCATGTCATACTTCATGTGAACTTATCTTCATTGTGAAAGACACTTAGGCATACCCTATACTTGAGTATACTTAAGGGGTAAGTTATTGCAAGTTATGTTTGAAGAGGTCTGGTAAAGAAAAGCGCTTGACAAAGCTGGAGGTCTTCTTTAACGCTATTACCCTACTCATTCAACATTCCTTTTTCTTTCGTTATTCTCTGGCAGCATCTGCAGTCCATACAAGGCAACATTTTGAAATGAATCAATCTCTTTTCGTTCCACGTGTTTTCTCTCGCCAGAAATGTGAGCTCGGCCGGGGAGTACGCGCGGAGGAAGCTTCGAGAGTGTGAGGGTCTGTGCGACGCTTTACTCCACCTGATGCGGACTGCGGTGCGCAAGAACGACATGGACAACAAGAGCGTGGAGAACTGCGTCTGCACGCTGCGCAACCTCTCGTACCGGCTGCAGGAAGTTGAAGACCCCGAGTACGACAAGCACGCGCCGGCACCGACGCCATCGCGCGCCACGGGCGCCGCCATCAAAGGTGTGTTCTCAAGTGTGTTTTGTCTGTTTTATATCGGTTCAGCAGATGTTACAGGTAGGAAGAATGTTCACGAGATCCAGAAAGTTTCATTCATGAACTTATAGCACGAAGATGGCTTGAACATCCATGAAGACCCCTCTGCAAGAAAGATTTCCAGTTGACAAAAAACTGATTTCTTCTATTCACTGTCAATATGCAGGTGTCTGTGTAGAGTAATGTCACTGGGTCTGGTAATAAGAATTTATTGATCCTACTGACGCATATTCCTTAGTTATGGATACACAAAGTCAAATGCGATTCCCCTGCTTCAAAGGCTCCCTGCAGGTCAGCTGCTGTGACCTCGTTCAACAAGGCTGTGACAGCCTGTTGATATGGCGGGAACGCTGTCAAATGAGCGACATTTCTGGCTTCTCTTGAACGTTGGAAACAAGAGGCGCACTGTGCTCACACGAGGGCTGACGCAGCCCCGACAGGGCCCCAATGCGAAACCGGCACACTTTGTCCTTTTCCCAAATTTCAATAGACGCCTGAAAGGTGGCCGTTTCGATGGTGTTACTGCCATACGAAGGGCTGTCATAACGTGTTGGAATAAAGTCGTGGCAGCTGGCTTTCAGGGTTCTTTTACAGCGTGGAAATTGCGTTGGTATCGGTGTATCGATGCAGAAGGAAATTAGTTTGAAGAATACGTACTGACATTATCCAGACATTTTCTTCACCAGACCTAGCTTCATGACTTAAAGAGAAGATCCGGTATGTATTTCTAGTGCTTGTTTTAAATGGAGCGAACTTGGGCATGTTGAGCTGTGTGTTTTACTACTTGTGTCTAACAAAGAAAACGAGCCCTTGAATTTACGCTCCTCTCATTACTACGTGTTTGAAACTTGGTAGGCTGTTCACGTGTGCTCTTCTCATTCTCCTGGTGCAGTGGGCGACAGCTTGGGCTGTTTCGGAGCCAAGAAGAAGAAGGAGGCCCTGGAGAAGCAGAAGAAGGAGTCTTCCGGATCGGCCCTGGCGTCGGCTTCGGCCAGCACGTCTCCGCGGCCGCAGTCAGATCCCCCGTCCGGCATGGAACTCCTCTGGCAGCCAGAGGTTGTGCAGCCATATTTGGCGCTGCTGTCCGAGTGCTCCAATCCGGAGACACTAGAGGCAGCAGCAGGTGCCATTCAGAATCTGGCCGCTTGCTACTGGCAGGTAGGCTTTTGGATGCGGGTGGTGGGGGGGGGGGGGGGGGGGGGGGGGGGGGGGGTTGAAAGCGAGCCGACAGTCCACTACACCCAAAGTTCGATGTAATGAATCTGGATATAACGAAATATTGGTTATAACGAAGCAAATGAAAAAGAGTTGCAATGGATTCAATGTTTGAAATACAGTGTACTTTCGGTAAACGGATATCTGTTTACGTAACTGCTGCTTAAACGAAACAGCTGCCTCTATCACAATTGCTTTCGTACCTGAATTCAGCACTCCTGCTCATCTCTCAGTAAACGAAACTCCTGACGAAACACATTTCATGGTTCCTTCAGGTTTCGTTTAATGAGAGCCTACTGTATACCTTTATAACAAATTTTCAGATATAACGAACTTATTTTTGTGTAAGGTGCAACTTTGGTACAGTCGACGACCGATTTTTCGGACCTCAAGGGACCACGAAAATGTCCGAAAAATCGGGCAGTCCGAAAAAGCAAATGTACCCAAAAATGCTCATTTTATGGTTACTATTGTGATGGAGGGCGGAAAAAGTGATCGATACTCTTCTGGACCATGCTTCGCTTCCGTGCGAGCACGTCCGCCCCCATTTCGGCTAGAGTTGCCGTGTCGCTGTATGCTGACGAAAGGGTTGCGATCGCTTGCATCAGCTTGGCTTGCGTTGGCTGTGCTGTTGCAGGTAAGTCGTCGTCGTCGTCATCGTCACTCTCGGACTCCGCAAGCACTTGCCGAATGATTTCCTCATCCGTGAGGCCAGCGCACAGTTCCAAATCGTTGCCAAACAGCAATCTCGGACAACGAGACATATGATGGAATATCGACGCCCGCAGTGCGAAGGTCGCATTAGCTGATCATTCCCAAAACGTGGTCGGACGACGCTTCCTCGCCAAGGCGGCGACTCGCCATTAAACACAAATCCCTGCCATGGTGGAAAAAAGTTGCGCGGCGTGTCGATGCCTCGACTTCCACACATCGACGAGCTGCTCTAAGGTCAAGTCAGTCAAGTCAAGTCAAGTTTATTAATAGTTCAGTTGAGTTACATGGTTAGCGTTATTACAGCAGGAGGTCCCAAAGTTTCAGAGAAACTGACAGGGGGACCTCCTATGGCTACATGGATGGGGTAATTACAAAAAAATACAGCAATAGTATACGGTCTTGTGAGTAATAATGAATAATCTTGATTAACAATAAAAACACGATCAATACACAACATAATGGTAATACTCACTATTGAAAAATAACAAGGAAACAATCAAAGCAAGTTAAGACAAAAAACAATATTAATGAACTCTACGTGACAAATGTAACACGTTTCATTATCAGTGTTATCAATTATACAATGGCAAATTGAAGTAGTAAAAAAGCACAGAACTGTGGAAAGCTATTAACAGTTAATTACACAAATCGGATGAGTTGATTAATTCCTGAACGTAATATTTCTTACTACGCGAAGTGAAAATATGGATGTTATGCGATGATTTCAATTCGAAAGGCAATGAATTCCAATGGCTATGCTAGTAAATAAGGTTGAGAACCTGCCGTAGTTTGTCCTTACGGCCGGCAAAAGAAGATTATAGCACTGAGAAAACCTGGTGATGTTACCATTAGTTAAGTGACGATGATCAATGCATGCAATAAAAATGTCATGCGTGATGAGTCTAAAGGCGACAACGGACATTCTATGACAAAATAATTGTCTCAATGGGAGTATGTTAAGCTGAGAAAACAACGAGCTGCAGGAGAAGTAAAATGGGCTGAAAGTCATTAATCTAACTGCTTGATTCTGAAGTCGCTGCAAACGTTCGATGTGCGTGAAATATGTGTTGGCCCAAGATGATACGCAATACGAAATATGGCTATGAATATAAGCAAAATACAAAGTACGTATGATGTGAGGCGGAAAATAAGTTCGTGTCTTGATGATAACGTGAATACCAAATGCAATCTTTTTAGCGAGTGATGCTGCATGTTTATGAAATTTTAGTTCGCTATCTAAGATGACGCCAAGAAACCGCGCTTCACTGGAAATGTTTATGACGGTATTACCAATGTGAAGGGAAGGTTGTATGTCAAGTGAAATGCGCGGGGAATGGAACAACATAAACACGGTTTTAGTAGCATTGATCTGAAGATAATTGGCCTGGCACCATAAAGTTATGTTATGTAAATCTGTGTTGAGGTCAGACTGGAGTGAAGAAACTGATTTAGATGACTGAAAGATGGTTGTGTCGTCAGCGTAAAGTATGCACTTGGTCCTTGTAAGAATTGTAGGTAGATCATTAATAAACATCAAAATAAAAGTGGGCCTAAAATTGATCCCTGTGGAACACCGACGTTAATTAACTTGGGCGTTGAAAGATGGCCATTAACATGAACCATTTGAGACCGGTTACTGAGGTAGCTCTTAATAAAACTTAGTGGCGGACCAGACATACCAAATGATTCGAGTTTAGCAAGTAGAACGTGATGATTTATAGTGTCAAAAGCCTTCGTCAAATCGATAAACACAGATCCCACAAGTAACCCTCTATCAATAGCTTGTTTAATTTCCTCCGTTAGGGTAATTAGTGCCAGCTCAGTTGAATATCCATGACGGAATCCGAATTGTTGTGGAGATAAAAGATTAAATTTTTTCAGATAACGCATTAATCTAATGTGGAATAACTTTTCAATTACCTTACCGAAGAAAGGCAGGATACAGATTGGCCTATAATTCTGTACAAAAGTCTTATCACCCTTCTTAAAAACTGGAACTATTTTACCAGCCTTAAGGCAGCTCGGAAACACACCCGCTGAAAACAGCTTGTTAATAATTACTGCCAAAGGTGGGGATATTAAGTTTGAAACTAGCTTTACTTTAAAAGGATCAATATTATCTAAACCAGCACTTGTGGTCTTTAGTGATGTGATGACCTGAAGGACTTCATCTGCAGACGTGGAATGAAGATAAAAAGAATGAGTACACCGTGGTATATTGCGTAAATGACCTGGTGATTGCTGCGTATCCGCAGATGCGCAGAAATGCTCACTGAACGTGGCGGCCACTCTTACAGGGTCGGTATACATTTCGTCGCCTTGCTTTATTTTTATTGTGGGATCTGAGCATTTTTTCATGTTCAAGAAATCTTTAATGATTTCCCAGCAGCGTCTCGTGTTACCCGTGTTTTTTACAATGAGATTCCGGTAGTAATTGCGCTTAGCACACCTAAGTAAGGAAGATAATGTTGCTGAGTATTTGTGAAAGCGGCATTTTAATGCGAGATTATAAGGCTGCGACTTTAGTTTCTTATGAAGGTTATTCTTTTTATTAATGGACTTCAACAACGAGTTGCTTATCCATGGATTTCTAGGGGAACGATACCACTTCGTGACAGTAGTGGAAGTGGTGGATGCATCTATACCTGAAGCTATTACTTCTGAGAAAGACTCAAAAGCCTTTTCTGCGCAGTCTAGATTAGTCACCGATGTCCAGTCTACTGTGCTAATTATTTGCACAAACTTGTCCGCGTCGAATCGGCGTTTCGTAGAGATGTTACTGGCCTTGGTATTTTCGGAGCCCAGAATGAAAAATACGGGATTATGGTCTGTAATGCTATGATCTATTACACCTGCTACGTGTTCAGTGGAAATGTTGGAGATAATATGATCTATTAGGGTATTCGAACCTAGTAAATCGTTTCTAGTTGGTGCTGAGATATGCGACGTAAAGCCATAGCAGTATAAACAGTTCATATATTCTAAGCACGATGCACTATCAGGATCAATAATGTTTATATTAAAATCACCACATAAGACAACGTTTTATTTTCCCTCACTAGGTTATTAAGAATGATGCTTAACTGATTACAAAAATCGGAATACGACGATGAAGGTGACCGATAAATGGAAGCTATAATAGTACTACGGCTATTCAATGGTATAACACTATGGTTGAATTCAAGCCAAACAGATTCACATAAAATATTATTAAAGATTATGTCACTACGGCGTGTGTAGGTTAAGGATGAGTTGACAAGTATGGCACTACCGCCACCACGACAGAGCTCCCGATTACAGTATTCGGAATAATAACCTGGCAATCCGTACAAGTTATCCTCATTACCAGACAACCAAGTTTCAGATAAACATATGACAGAGAATGAATGTTTAAGCAAGGAAATCAACGCAACAAGGTCATCCTGGTGCTTTCTAAGACTGCGAATGTTTAAGTGAAGTAGTGATAGGGATGGTGACTTCTCGAGTAGCAATTCTGATGTTTGCTGGCACGAGAACGCAGCCATGTTGATCTAGGTCAGTTTAAAATGGGGACTGATAGGATAACTAGGAGAATACTCGGAGATCTTCTGCGCATGCAATTCGAAACACGCGACTGTCATCCGCCTTTCTGGCTTTGATTGTACAATTGTCAGTCCAGAGATGCTTCCACTGATTGGCCTTCTTAAGCGCAAGTGCCTGTGCAAAGAGGCGCTTTCGTTCTGGTGTGAGATGGTCATTCACATACACAGGTTTAGGGCCTGTGCTCTGAGAAAACCCTATATCTGTGGTAGACAAGCGTGCCTTTCTTGCCTTTTTAGCGAATTCAGCCTTCTTGTTTCTCGAACAGAATCGCGCAATAATGTTGCTTCCATTCTTTGCGGGCACCCGATGCGCGGCGTCTATGTCTGTATCGGCAATTGGACAACCAATCTTCTCACCGATAACCTGGACGACTGCCAAGCAGTCTTCGCCCTTTGTCTCAGGGATTCCCTTCAGTTCAACATTATTAAGTCGCGAGTATTGTTCGAGATCACACATTTGTTTACTGAGCTTCTTATTCTCATCCCTCAGGACCTTGTTTTCTTTAGTTAGTGCCTCATTGTCATTCTTTACACGTTCACAGAGGTCATTGAACATCACAAGGCTTGTTTTCATCTCTGCGACCTCCTGCCGAAGAGCCTGTATTTCCTTTGCTAGTTCCGCGCAAGTCGGCATTCTCAAGATAAGTA